GACCCAGCAGCCACTGCCTCCCCTCACCCCAACATAATAATTAGGGCTAAAGACACAAGCTTTCATGAACTGCAGCTCATTTCATCAGACCCGTACTGTAATCTGCATCTATATAATAACATCTGATGAATTAAGGTGCAGGAAAAAAATGTGATGTAATCCAATTTGTTAATGTGCTACCAGTCTGTTTCTGATGTTTGGCTACCATATACTAGCAAGGCTTACTATCCAGGCTGACAAGTAAGAAATTATTTAAAGCAATCAGAGCCGGACCTTCTGTGGGCCACGACTCTGAAGTTCATTCTTTAATCAATTTCTGTTACGATATGGTGCACTATTTGCAAACTTGGGCAATCTGCAGATTTATTTTGGAGAAAGCTGTCTTATCTATACTGACATCAACTATCTGTGTGGATTATCCCATTGGATGTGAGGTCGCTGTGTTCCAGCCTTGGTCTCTTCATATGTTATCTTTAGGGAAGCATGCAAACCAGCGTTTGCATATCCTGCATCGGATGAGGAGAGCACATCTTTCTCCTTCTGTCCTGGTCACTTTTTACAGAGGCACGATTGAGAGTGTTTTAATAAACTGCATCACTGTTTGGTTTGGTGGTAGGTAGTAGTGCCTCAGATAGAAGGACCATACAGAGAGTGGTAAGGATAGCTGGGAAGATTATAGGAAGCTCGCTTCCCATGATTCAGGATACTGCTTATAAGCGCTATGTGCTTAGAGCTCGAAGCATTGTTAGAGACTCCACATACCCACTTCATGGTCTGTTTCTGTTGCTCCCCTCTGAGAGGAGGTTTCGAAGTATTTATAGCAGAACTATTAGATTCTGTAACAACTTTGTTCCTTATGCCATCAGTCTTGTGAATTTGCAGGATTTCCCCCCCCCCGTCATGTATGCACTTGAACTAGACTGTGTCATATATGTGTGTGTATGTGGGTATATGCATAATGGTATTTTTTTCAGAGTTGAATGCAATGAAATTTTAATGTATGCTGACTAATGTATATTTAAAGTGACAGTAAAGTTTTTATTCTATTCATTCTATTCTTCCCTGCTTTTTGAATTATTGGGTTATAATAGAACACATGAGAGTTGCAGTTCAATAGAGATCATCGGGGTTGTAGACAGCTTCCATTTTGATCTCTATTTCCACGGGAATTTAACGGGGTAAGCAGTTAGAATGGAAGTGTCAGCAAAGATAGTGACTCATTCTAAATTTATATGTATAAAGAAAAATGGAAAAAAGCGAAACATTACTGGCAGTTATTTTGGGGTGATAACTACTATATTATCTAACCTTTGCAATGATGGCTAGGAGCTAAACAACATGCAGGGTATCAAACAATCTGGCTATCATTTTACTACACGGAGAGTTATAAAAAGTTCCACTAACTGAATATGGAAATTTTCCTAATAGCTTCTGGCACCCATTATCTCACTTGAATAATAAATCCTAAAAGCATCATAGCATTTTAAGAGACAAAATGTGAAGCATTAAAATAACAATAATAGAGTTGGAAGGGACCTTGGAGGTCATCTAGTCCAACCTCCTGCTCAGGCAGGAAACCCTATACCATTTCAGACAAATGGCTGTCCAGTTTCTTCTTAAAGACTTCCAGTGTTGGAGCATTCACAGTTTATGGAGGCAGGTTGTTCCACTGA